ATGAATTTACAATTCAAATATAAAATTTCAATCTAATTACTTCTAAAAATTAAAAGTGCAATTGTTAAAAGTATTGTTTGTAAGAAACTTTTCAACAAATTCTTTATTTTTTTTTTTAAATTTTCAACACTCTTTCTTTTATGTTCATCCTTTTCAATGCCTTTAGTTTTATTTTTTAGAGGATCCATTTCAAAAATCTTTTAGTTATACTTAGCCAGTACATTACCTAATTTATCAGGAATTACTTCAAGATCTTTGAATATGTTTACCAATAATATCTGGGAATTGGTCCGTTAAATGTATGAACTTGCAAGTGCAAAATCACCAGCTATTGGAGCCACTTTATGATGATCTTCGAAATTATCATAGTTATTGGGGGCTTCATCATTATCGTAGTTACCGGGGGCTTCGTTAACATAGTTACCAGGGGCTTTGTACAAAAAATAAATTAGCAAACATCAAATTTAACAATTTAACAAATAAATACAAATTTTATCTTTTGAACTTGTTTTAATGCATTAAAAAAACTGCTTAGACCTTTATACTGCATTACTGATTTCGAATGTTTATATGTAGCAAGACCTTTTTGAGACTTATGTCTTATAATTGATATCATGACTGAATCGAAGTATCCAAGCTCTTTTAACAATTGTATAGTGTTTTTTTTCTAGAATAATTTGAGATATTGCGGGTTCCAATTTGAATACCTGTAGTTTCACATATAACTCTAAAGTATTCTCTTAAATTTTGTTTACCAGAGCATGAGTATAATATTATTTGCTACTAAATTCTACTAATAAATAAAAAAAAAATTAATAAAGGGACACTTAAATACAAAAAAAAAACAATATTTACCCGAATCCGAAGTTATTGGCTTCAGATAAAAGTCTGTCACGGTTGCTATTGAACATTTGGTAAAATAAAGCTCATAATCATCAACAATGCTTTTAATGTTGGACAAGCTAATAATCTCAGCCTGTGCATCATAGTTTTCCAATCCTTATTGATTGGTTTTTGATCTATACAATTTGATATCAATTCTGCTATCAAATCTTTTAATAAAACTGTTAATTTGTAATGTATAATGTTCACCTTCACATAATGCCAACAGTGTTACATTATAAAAAAAATTCTTCGTAACAAGCCTTTCAGCGAATTATGTTGCATCATGGGGTGGTCCAAGACTTGCTCAATCTTGTTCATTGTAAGTCTATCAGCTCCAACATGTTTATCTAAACCTCTTGCAGAAAGATCCTTTAACTTTCCATTGATTACTTAGTTGAGATCAAAGTATACTTTTGGATTAAATATATTAATAGGCTTTTCTATTACCGAATGTACATTGAAATGCTTCTAGATTGCTACCATACAACTTCTTATAAAGGTTATATAATTTTCTTTCCCATTCTTTTGCTTTATTGGCAAATGAATTTAGCTAGCTGATTCTCAAGGATTATTTTTATATCAAATTCTTTGATCTTTCCTTCATAACTGATATCAGAGCAAAACTCTTTTAGGTCTGATCCATATTTCAGTTGCCTTGTGAGTTGCTTTAACTTTAGCATTATTCCAAACTTCCTTAAGATCATTTGCAAAAAGCTCTATGTATTTGACTCACTAATAGAATACTATATTAATACATTTTTATTTGTATAAAAAAAAAAACAAAAAAAAACATTATCTTACCTTTGTCTTGCTAACTTTCTTTTTTGCTGATTTTGTTTTTGGCATTGACTTCAGGTGGGTTTTATAAATTCCAAGTAGCTTGTGGCTTTAGCTTTGATTTTTAGCTTCAGATAGACATTTCACTTTAAATGAGCTTTACTGTTATTGATTTATAGCTTTAAAAGGCTTTCATGGGTTTTATAAACTTTACAGGTTAATTATACCCTTAAAATTAAAATACCTTCTTGTAATTACAAATAGCGGCTTTTAATTAAACTTTTAACACAATTAACGACAAGACCTTCCACTTCCACCAACTATACTTCCAACTACTACTACACGAATTCTAACTTTCACACAAGACTTAAAAGAATATCAAAGTACTTTAAAAAAGATTTTTTTTTTTGCTTAAAAAAAAATATATATTCTATTGCTTCTAATTTTTTTTTTCACTTGGGAAAAAAATTGATTTAAATACTAATCTGCAATCTATTTTTCAGATCTAAAATTATATTTATAGAGGGGGAAAAGATTAGGTGCCATGATTATAAATTGTCAGATAACATCATTATTGGGCAAATTTGTGAATATAGTCATTTGGCTCAACTAGACAAATGATTGTATGACACGTGCCGCTTT